GAAAGAGTTCTTTCCGCAGAGGGCCAGCCGACCAACAATACGCCTACTAACTCTAACTCTTGTGTGTAGTTTGCTCAATGGACCTTGTCCTGGTAAGTGCCAGCAGCACTCTGTGGAACTCCTCCCCCCACCCCTCCCCCCGACTTAGTAAGTTAGTCGCACTGATAAACAAACTTACCCATCCAAAATGCGGTAGGCTGGTTCAATTTGGTTGTTTCGAACAAGCACGGTCTTCGCAAGGAATCTCAAGTGATTAGAAGACATGGTTCTTATAATTACAACCAATCAAGAAGTTCATTCATCAACAAGACATCTATATAAGGGACTTCGTGCTGTTCTCTAAATTAGAGCAAATTTGAAATTCATCAACTACTTTATAACATTATAACCTTGGACGCTTGGTTCACGCTAGACAAACAAAAAGTCTGCGACCAAAGCAGTCAACATAATTGTACTTGCGATTTATTGTAGATCTAACAGTAAAAAAACTAGATCTTGATCAATCATGTATATTCGCACGAATTGGCAAATTTGTTAATATTATTCTATCATTCTCTTCATCATAACATCCGTTCTTACATTTTAAATTAAGTCCTTTTCTATTAGAAAAGTATCCCCCCATCAGTCTCTTCCCCATTCTTATTTTGCTCAAATTGCTTTATCTGTTATTTCAATCGTTCATGTTCTTGAAATGAAAATATTGAACAGATCTAGATTCTAGATCTAGATCTAGCCCAAGTCCAAGCCTTGGCCTATTATTTTAGGTAGAAATATCGATAGCCAAATATCTGTCCAATCAGGTAGCGTTTGTGATGTATGGATTCTTTTAGCCAATAAAATTGACTTTAACAACAGCCTTGGAGAATTGTTTGATAATGGCGGACGCAAGTTGAGTGAACACAATCCTCTCACGTTCAGTCGGATTCAGTTACTCAGAGTGAAGTTACTGTTTTAAAAAAGTGTTAATCATGGAAATTGACATTCAAAACGAATTAAATAGGGACGGAATTGTTTTCTATTCTGTTTTATACTCCAGTGTTACCGTCATTTTTGCATTTGCCGTTCTCTCAAAATTCTTAACGAACGAGTTCAGGTTTGGCTTTCGATCATTTCTTAGTTTGGTGACACTTTTCCTTGGTGAACCGTTATGTCAATTTCTTGTCGAAGGACCGAGTGGACTCGTGGTGTTTTCTCTGGGGTGTTTAATCATTTATTACATTCTACCAGCAAGCCATCTACCGATTAAAAATCGTTCAGTGCTTATCACAGGTAAGCTTTCCTTTCTCAACTTTCTGTCACTGTCATCATGCCATGTCGGATGATCATGAAACATGATGTTATAATTTAAACTTAGATATCTCTCTAGATCTAGATCTATGTCTATACTATAATATTATCACCTTGTTCAAATTGTCTAGTCTCTAGATCTAGATCAAATCTAGATTCTAGTATCGTCAATAGTTGATAATAATGTAATATCATTTACAATGTCATTCTCATCAGGAGAGTAGTCTATAAAACTATAGAGATACAGAACTATAGCAGACCGGTGTGTACTGACCCGGTAACCGGGAACAAAGTCACGCTAGTACAGACTTGGTAGGGGAAATCTTTTGTGATTTCGAAAAGTTTCAGTGCCCAGACCCGACAGAGTGTGTGTGTGTGTGTGAGAGAGAGAGGGGTGGGGGTAGAGAACAGGGGGAAGTATAGTATTCTTTGTTCCTTATTTCTTTTCTCCATATTGTCTTAATTAATTAAACTTACTGATTCCTCCGACTCCAAAGCGAGGAAAATCGATTGTTCATCAAAAAGACATCCGCAGTCTTCATTTAGATCTAGGCCTTGAAACTAGATTCGCCACCTCTATTCTCACCCCGGGTGAGAATAGTGCAGGCGAGTCTTTTGCTATTCTCACCCGGTGCGCGTTCACCGTTATAGCCTAGACTAGGCCAACCAATTTTGCGTTCACCCTAAAACACAGAATTCTACACTGTGATAACAGAAAAATTGTAGAATTCTGTGCCATGAACAAACGTTCCATTATTACTGTTAGCCTACTAAAAGCGTACAATTTTGTCTGTGGGCAGTGGAGAGAGAGAAGGAGCAGCGCGAGAACTTCCGGGCAAAACAAAATGGCGACCCGCGTAGTTCGGCTTGATTCGAAAAGTTAAATAGCCGTAGCATCTTTGTAGACGACCAAATTAATTAACTTTTGTGTTTTAACATCATTTTTTAACTTTGTTTTGGTCAATTTGATCGTCCACACTGATAGACAGTATTCAGAAATAGATATATATAGAGAGAGAAGAGGGGAGGAGTAGATCTTGCGAGAACTTCCGGGCAAAACAAAATGGGGACCCCCGTAGTTCGGCTCGATTCGAAAAGTGAAATAGCCATAGCATCTTTGTAGTCGATAAAATTAGCTTACTTAAATTTTGTGCTATAACGTAATCTTTTCTTTGCCTTTATATATCCATTTGATCATCCACATCGATAGAAAGTATTCCGAAATTAGGAAAAACAGGTCTTGTTTCACACCGGGTGAGAATAGCCTACGGTGGCAAGTCTCACCCGGGGTGAGAGGTCGATCGTATTTCTATTCTCACCCCGGGTGAGAATAGCCACTTCCAACTAGATTAGAGAGTACAGTCCGTGCCTGCTTTAAGCATGATCATCGGGAGAAAGCATATATATATATATATACAGCGTGCTTAATGCCGAAGCATTCTTGAGTGTGAAGTAGACATTGTCATTATAATCCAGAGATTTTTAGGTTGAACATGTACCCTTTGTTCGTAAGTAGTGGTCGGGCAAAAGTGTGCGCTGTGCTGTAATTTTTACCAGCCAGGGTAGTTTTGTTTTGTTTCTTTCGTTTTATTGTTGAATGAGAAAGGAAAACTTAATTAAGACAGCCAGTCACGACACAGCACTAAGGCCTACACACTGCTTGTGCATACCACCTTTATCCCACCTCGCCCTTGATACATAATGATTCATAATCAGGATTATCGGATAACGAGGGGCAAGGGTGAAACCGCAGCCAGCCTCCTTTTCTCGTCTCCCCGACTGTTTTTGTATTTCTTGTCTGTGTGTAGCTTTGCCAAAGGCTAGATCCCATGTCCACGCATGTGGCTGTGTCCATCTCTCTTCCTTCCTCTCCACGCGTGTTCAGAGTGTGTGTCTCCATCACTTGCGTTCTTTGTGTTTAAAACAACTTGCACACTCACTGCTGCGATGTAGACTGTTCGAACTTTGATGGGTCATCATACAAATATTAACTCGACATCTTGTAAATGTAAGCGTGCCTGAAGCCGAAGTTACCTTGCTTAAAGGCGTGTGATTTATATATATATAGCAAAAATTCGGTAAGAGCCGCTTAGCTTGCTTGAGTCCGCGAAACGTGCTAAAAGCCGGCACAGACTGTAGTGGTTTATAAATGGTCTGTCTAAATCTAGACCAAGGCCATAGATATCTAGAAGAACCTAGGTCTACCCACTACCCTGAGCCAAGAGGGCGCTGAAACTTTCTGAAATAAAAAAAGAATTCATCTACCGGGTCTGTATACTTCGTGACTTTGTTCCCGTTACCGGGTCTGTATGTATACACGCTCCCTCTATAATATAATAACTAGATATCTAGTAAACTATTACTGGAAGGAATTCTGTAACGAGCGACCGCTATGAAAGAGTAGAATATATTCTAATAGAGATGGGTTAGGTTAAAGGTAATGTAAGGTAAGGGTGGGAGTAGGGGTTGGGTCAGGGTTAGGGTTCGGTCTCTTTTTTATTATTTGTTGGGGTGGTCGCTCGTTACGGAAGTCCTTCCCGGTTATTTTATAGGCCTATCCAATTAGGACCTCTGTAATATTGAGCTTCGGCTATGAAGAAAAATTTTTACTTGTGGGTAGATTTTCACTTTCACTCCCACACCGCACACATACACTGATTTGGGAATCAAACGGCTGTACTTTTGGCTGCATGTCACACGCGACTGTGCAAATCAATTATTTTCAAGAAAATTTCAAACCTAATTGAGGGGGCTCTCATGGTCTAGTGGTTATGAATGTTATAGTGTTCCGGTCACCTCTCGGGAAGACTTCCGTAACGAGCGACCACTATGAGCCAAGAGTAGATAAAGGGTTAGAGGTAGGGTTAAGTCTCTTCTTTATTGTGTTTCTTGGGATGGTCAGTCATAACGGAAGTCCTTCCCACCTCTCATTCAAAAGGTCCCGCGTTTTGAACCTGACAGCGACGAAAAATCTTCTTCTCCAAATTATTTTCCTTTCAGAACACCTCTTTTCCTGCTCTCTAACAATATTCTGTCATTTCTGCTCTCTCTCCACTTTCTACCCCCCCTCCCTTGCCCCCTCCTCTGGGCTCCTGACTCTTTCTGCTACTTTTCTACAGAGTTGAACTGCTACTCCTTGGCTTCAAAGTTTATTCTTTCCAAAATAAATGTTTATAATTTGATGTGTCACACGCATTCACTTTTATAACTTTTACAGCTGTGAGCGCCGTAAAACACTTACCGAAACAACACACTAATTGAATTGTAGTTGCAAAGCAACAAGTTATTTTATAGGAAAAAACACAAGGGGCCTTGTAGTTTTAAATTGGGCATATAATAAAAGATGTTGAACCAAAAAACACACCGGTCTGTCAGTATTTGTGATTTCCAGGATCATGACAATTTATGACGTCGACAGCATGTGTTTTATGGGAAAGCTCTGTCGCATTATAATTAAAATTCTTGTTTAATTTAATAAGATAAATAAGGACTCCCAAGTTGGTAAATTACTATTTAAATTTAACAACGGCTGTCAAATTCTTCACATGTGTGTCCTTTTTCTACAATTTCATTCTTGCTCATTTTTGCAAAAAAATAAAGCAGTAGTAAAGTATAAAATCTATAAATTACAGTTAAGTATTTTCTCCTGTGTTGTATCACTATCCAAACTTGTTAGACTTTGAAAGCACATTATTTAAGATCAGAGTTCCTTAACTATTGAAAAAGGAATCATGATGTTGCAAAGGCGAGCAATTTGAACCACTTTCGACATCAAGGAAAGTTACAGAGCATCTACCTTGTACCTCAGAACTATTGGAAGAAGAAAAACTTTGTGAGAGTGGCCAGCAATACAATTCAAGAGAAAGGACTTTTTGTATTAAATTTTTAAAAACTAACGAACCAAATTCCAGATGATTGCTCAACAAAATCAAATGACTTCTCAATTTAGATAAACAAGGACAGAAAATCTTTCTAAAGAATAGAGCCTGATCGGAGGAACAGCAAAGGTGGATACACCCAGCTGATTGACACTCACTTGGGTTTATTATCTCAGAAAGACAAGAAGAACACATTTTATTAAATGTTGAAATAATGACTGGGTTCACCCACTGTAGTGTAAAGTGCACTTTAAAAGTCCATGCCAGCTGCATCATTGTCTGTCTCATTGTGGACTGACAGAAAACTATTGGTTCTTTTCCGTATTCCTTGGCTTGGTTTTTTTTTTTTTACCTTTTCAAATGTCTTTCCACTTTTCCATCATACATTATTCTTTGTGGCTCTTCTACAGGTTCCATGTGACCTTCCCATTGGTTGTTTTAAACCGTATGGATTCCAGTCTAACGCTTTCTTAGTTATAATAAATAATATATGTCTTCCAACTACTAGATTTCTGAGTCTGAAGGTGTATGTTCAATCCAATCCACTTCCACTGCTTTCACACCACTGCATCTCAGACTAGGCTCTGTGTTGTTGTCCTAAACATTTCCTTGGTAACCCTGTCTGTCCATCTGATTCTGAGTAACTCTCTTGGGCACTTGTTGATGACAACTGTGATCCTCCATCTTTCTGTGAAGAGTGCCTTGGTCTGTTGCTGGTCTCATGGGGCCATTATAATTTATTTTGTGACTTAAAATCTTAGAGATTAGTATGATGTAAAATTGTATGAAATTACTATAGCGTGCATGATGTATGCTTAAATTTTTGTTCTCCTTAGGTTGTGACTCTGGCTTTGGCCATGCGTTGACCATCAAACTAGATAGCTTGGGAATTCAAGTGTTCGCTGGATGCTTAGAAGACAGGGGGCCAGGAGCATTGGAATTAAAAAACAGATGTTCAGATAGGTAAGTGTCTGGATCATAATATCTTGTTCTAGTATAAAATCATAATTGGGAAAATCCATTTCTTTCTTTTACATTTTTTCTTAAATGTGTAGATATATATGAGGTCATGTCCTGATGGAGTGATCACTAAGAAATTGTCTCGAAAAGGAATTGTTGAAGGCTTGCCAATGTGATTTATTTTAACTGATTCTAAGATGGTCATCATGCTACGGGGCTCTGAAGCACAATTGGAGAAAGCCATAGATAAATATATATATTCACTTTCTCTTTAGTCTCAAGGGCATAGCTGTTCGAATAGTGAGAAAGTGAATTCTTACCCTTTTTTTTCCCTAAATAAGTTTTCAGATTTCGGAGTTTCAGTTTACCTTCATAGCTGATGTCTCTATGCATTCAATAAAACCCTTTTCCTTCATAGTCCTTTCATTTTTAAGCCAGATTATCAGTAAGCAATATAATGGTTAAATGCGTACATTTGCCCATTTACCTTCGGACAACCTTTAGTGTCATGGCTGGGCCTACGGTCAAAGATGTGGCAATGCCGTAATAGTAGTTTTGTGTTAAGTGTTGGATAGGTATTCCTGTCCTATTTTATCTTTCTGCTAGTGGTTCTGTGCCTGATACCTGGATATGTGGGTTTTTGGCGGGGGCTCTGGTGTGGCTTGCTTCTTCTTTCCTATCAAACATCTATCATCTTTATCTCCCATTCTTCTTTTTTGTGTTTGTTTCTCTCTTGTAACACTTCTAATCTTCGGTACTTTTTAACTGTATTGTGTTGCAAGTGCCGTGAAACACCTAAAACTAAAATACCTGGATATGTATTAAGATTATATCAATGTATTAATTACGGAATCTGTGTTTTAAAATAATGATGTTCTCAACTCCCCCGGATACATGAACTATGTAAAATTGTGAAAAGAAGAGATTTTATAATTGAAAAGCTTGAGACTTTGGACCTGACAAAAGCTCTCTTTTTCAGCAGAGTGTATCAAATTATGTCGTTTAACTTTCTTTGCTTCCTTTTAGGTGTACCCGTTGTAGGTTTATGAAAACTATGAAGTGGGTTTTTAGTTATATGTGTGTAATATTAGGTATTTCATTTAGTACTTTGATGTGCGGTGTACACAATTTTGTATTGGCCAGTGTAATTTGAGAAAGTTTTCTGTCTGTAGGCCCAGTCAATTTCTCTGAAATATTAGATTATATTTGAAATGACAGGCTATCGAAGGAAAAATGCCATTGTCGTAGATAGTGTTATCCTCCTTGCCAATGAATGAAAAGACCAAACAACAACAAAAAAAGGACTTCATTCACTGTTGTTGCCAGTTGCCTTGTGCTCTGTTAAATTGTAGTTTTGTCCCGTCATTATTACCTCCTTAACCTTAAAATTGCACTTTCCTTTTCAGGCTTCACATCTTGAAGTTAGATGTCACTAACTCTAAAGACATTGCAGAAGCTTCCAACTATATAAAAAGCCGTGTGGGAGAAGAAGGTGAGTTGTGGTTTCTTCTTAAAAGGACATGCATGCATGGTTCTTTTGTAGATCTTCTTGCTTTCGTAACTGTTTAGTGGATCGATTCATGCTTTTTGTAGCCTACCTGAATGACCTGATACCACTTTGTCGCCTGTTTTTTTCCCTCCATCTTTGTAGATCCATAACTGGAAACTACAATTGTTGAGTTTTGACAGCCTGCAACTATAGGCTTTACTCTCTTAAAAGATCATGTCTTATGATGAAGTAAATCATCATACTGGCACACCCAATCATTGCATATATCAATCTACTATATCTTAATAATTGACCGGTTTCATTATTGATTAGAGCTAACTTGCAGAATGACTTCTGTAAAGGGATCATTGGAAAAGTGAGATATTTATTATTCATGTATTCGACCAAATAGTCTACAGCGGGTCATTATGCGGTTAATGCTTTTCAGTCTGATAGTGATGAAAGGAAAACCAATCTAAATATTGGACATGTTGTTGTTCGCAATCAGATTGCAGCTCTATGCCCCAACTCATTTGTTTGTCAATTGATTTCAGTGGGTTATTTTTTTTTTTTTGGTTTATGTCAGCATTCTTCCTGCGTCTTTTTGTTCATTCAACAACTAACTCATCTTGTTTAGAAAACTTCTCTTTGGGATAGGTATCTATTTGTCCCGAAAAGATGTTTTTAAGGGGATATGCGGGTGAGAAATCGGGTCAAATATCGAAATTTCATCGAATTTGCAATTTTGGTGAATTTCGATTATTCAACCATTTCTACACGTTGCGTCATGTTCTCTTTCTGGCATAAATTGTCTTTGAAATGTATGTAGGTATAGGTCTTTCCTCTTGAACCAAGTAATGTCATAATTCAAGGTATTTGGTATCGCTGTTTAGCTCATTTTCCGCATTTTGCATTTCCGGAATCGACGCGTGGGAACAAAATGTTGAGAAATTGTGAGTGAATAAGACTTTTTTGGTTGTTTTTGGTGATTTTCTCATTTCGCAAATTTTTTCCATATAAATTCTTATTTGTGTTACTCAATTATTTGTGAACCAATTTGGATGAGACTTTGTACACAGGTCTATTATGATGTTGTGCACATTCATACTACAGGAAAATTTGATTTGTAAAGTACAATTGTTGAAGAAAAATGTTTTTTAACAGCCCTACTCCCTTAAATTGTCATTACTGTGTATACAGTAAAGTGTAGGAGCCGTAAAATCTTTGAAATTGCCTTATTTGGAAATCCATGTTGCATAAATTTTTATCTTAGTTTGTTTTATAGCCTCACAAAATTTGAAGAAGATTGGTGTACAATTAATTGAGCAATGTATTTCTCAATTGATGAACTTTCGTCATTTTGCGACCTTTATTTGCCTCTGTCGGCTAAGGACTGTAAAAAATGCGAGTTTTGAATCTTTTTTCTCAATCTCTATACCGCCAAATGTGTAATTTCAATGTTGAGCCAATTATGAAATGTCCTCATTTCAAGATTCAGATGTCAGCAGCATGTTCCCTTAAATAATGAGATGGGTCAATTGTTGAATAAACAAAACAAAACAAAACACTCAACTCACTGCCTCTACAATGATGTGAAGTTTTAGTGTGGGAGCTGGGGTGTCGACTTTGCTTCCTTTCCTCACGCATAAAGTGGTCTTAATGGGTGGTTAGCGGATGCTCTTGTGTGGTCTGCTCCTTCTTTCCTATCAAACATCAATCTTCCTTATAAAATCTCTCCTTCATTTTGTGTTTATTTCTGTGTCTGGTAACACTTGTAATCTTTGGTACTTATTTGACTTTTTTGTGTTGCAAGTGCCGTAACTCTTACTAAAACCCTCTTAAAACAGGAATTGTAACTCTTTGGGTGGCTGATTTACAACAAGGAAAATTTCCCGTGAGTGGCAGATTCTCATGATGGTTATCATTGGCCAGAACCAAAGGGTCGGGGAGTGGTTGCCAGGTGTTCTGGTGTGGTTTGCTCCTTTTTTTCTCTCAAGCATCCTCCTTCTTTTCTCTCAAGCATCTATCCTTCACCCTTCTATGACCTCTTTCTTTTTATGTTTGTTTCTCTCTTATAACACCTCTAGTCTCCTGTACACATTGTGTTACAAGTGCTGTAAAACTCTTTCTAAAACTAGATACATATCCTGCACTAATTCTGTAAATGTGAATCTAAAAAAAAAAAAAGAATGCTGTGAAATCAGGATGTGGAGAACTTTGTGCTCTCCCCTCAGTCTCAGCTGTAATCGAGCCGTGTCCTGTGTATCTTTTCTTATAGGCCTGTGGGGACTGGTCAACAATGCTGGTGTGTGGTGTTTTGCGGAGCTGGGGATGACCTCCGAGACGATCGTCCAGAAAGTTATGGACGTCAATTTGTTTGGTGCCGTCCGTATGACCCGGGCCGTGCTGCCGCTGATCAAGCAGGCCCAGGGCAGGATAGTCAATGTGTCCAGTTTGCTGGGTGAGTAGTTTTTGTAGTCTCGAGAGTTTGTTTGGATCAGGAACGCGGCTGCTTGGCAGGTTGTGCTCTGGTGTGGTTTGCTTTTTTTTTTCCCATCAAACATGTCCTATTGTCCTGGTCTCTCCTCCTTTTTTGTGTTTGTTACCCTCTTGTAACAGCTCTAATCTCAGACACTTTTATTACCTAATTGTGTTGCAAGTGCTGTAAAACCATCTTACTAAAGCCAAAAGATCATGAACTCAGTTTGTGATGCATCCTTTGATTTTAGCTTTTCCTTTGTTTATTTCTTATTTTTTTCCAATTTAAATAAAAGTGTTTTACGGCGCTCGCAACTGCATTGGGTCATATGAGCGCGCGGGACACACCAAACATTTTCAGTTGGTAGGAAATTTTGAATTTTGCCTGGATGGCAGCCGAAGCCTACTCTTATTGATTTTGGACCACCAAGGGATCTTTAACGTGCACAGCTTGCACATGGGACCTCCAAGATTTTTCGCCCTTGTCCGAGAAGGCTAGGTGTAGGTCTTACCTACCATAAGATCAGGGGTGTGGCTGAAAGACAGCAATAAAAAGGAGCCAAGGAGAAGAAATAGAAAGGCTGCAGAAAGAGTCAGGAGCCCAAAGGAGGGGGCAAAGTAGGTGAGAGGGTGGGGGCAGAAAGTGGAGACGAAAGCAAACGACAGAACATTGTTAGAGAGCAGGAAGTGATTGACAACACTGTATTTTTTTTCTCTCCAAATTTCAAACCTGCGTTTTTTTTCCTAGACAATTTAGGCTCAAAGTTTGTTCAGTTTATGTATTCTTATTGTATATCAGCCTGATTCCTCATCAACAAGGTTTTTGAGTTCATCTCACTATTTTTCGTATAGACTTCTAAAGTAATGATAATAACAATGAAAAAGTAGCATTTCCATATCACAAATTCCGTCTCAGCAGCAAGCTGTGCTTCACAATCTGTATTATTACCCCCAGCACACCTGATGCTGAATCAATCTCAACTTCTTGGGAAGCTTACAGTGCAAGCTGCCGTTTTACAGATGCTAAAGCACTAACATACTTACATGTGTGTGTGTGTACACATGGTGAAACACCAAACCAATGTGCCAGGATCTGGACAATAAAGATGTATCTTATCTTATCTTACACTGGGAAGGTCTTTCACTGCCCACGGCTGGGTACCCATTCCCACCTGGGTGAGGTGAGGAAAATTGGTGTAAAGTGCCTTTGCCAAGGACACAATGTCAGGCCTGAGCCTCAAACTCAAACACCCCCGAACCCGCAGTCTCATAATTATGATCAGGTAGCGCATCACCACTAGGCTACCAAAGTTAATTTAAACACTGTTACTATGCAGAGAGTATTCTGTACTGTTTTTGTGAGTTAAGATTGCTGACTGTGCATATCATCAGCGGGCTTATTTCAGATAACATTGTATCGGCTTCCGTTTTTTCAAGGCAGATGTCAGATATCTATGGCTTACCTGTGATGTTATTGCATACTGACTATACTGGGCCCACTCTTTTTTATATTCTATCCAACTGGATCATCGTAGATCGTGCCAGTTTCAGCATTCCCAAAGGGGGGGGGGGAGGGGACATTTCTCGTTCTAATGCATAGTAGTATTGTAAATAGGCTGATCCAACAATGTCATGCTCATAACTGTGCCTGAACTACAACAGGGAAATGCTGCTTTTTCTTTCCTAATTCTTACTGTCGTCATTTTCCTCTGCTTCTTTTGTATGTTTGTCACACTCTTGTGACCCGCTATTTCCGGGATGCCCTGAAAGTCGAAGCAGATTTTGTGCTGTTGAAGCTAAAGAGGTGAGCAGAGTAAGTCTGATTCCCTGTAAGGACATCCACCCCTTGGCGCTTATATGACTTTATGCAGTTGCGAGCGCCGTAAAAACCTCTACTAAAACAAACAAAGAGGAAGATAGGACTAATGCTAACATTATGTAGACACCATCCTACATCATCATTCACCACCTCCATTATATATCTAAATCATAATTGCTCTCAGATCCTTGACATAAATGTATATATTTCTTGAATCGCTATCTGTAACAGTTACACGTTATAATAAGTTTTATGTCATGCACTATTGGACACTATCGTATGCACTCTTTACTAATCAGATGGCGTCAATCTCACATGAATGGGAAAGGGACCACAAAAAAAAGAGAGAAAAAGTGACATGGGATTTATAGGTTGTATAGCGCATAGAGCTTGCTGTTTAATGGGAATTTGCTTTGTAAATGTGCTATTTACTATTATTTAGTTTAAAATATAATTGTCTTATTTGGAGAATTTGCAGTTACTACAGGGTTTGCTAGCAGCTGGTGTGGTGAGCATGATAAAGAGAAGTGTTTATGGAGAGCTGATTTCCACAACGATGAATACGATGCGAATCTTCAGTCGTATTAATCGACACACCCACAGTCGAGCACTGATATATCTGTAACATGAAGGGGATTGAGATATGTGTTCAACACAATGCCGCTAGACTGATAACAAGATCTAAAAAACGAGACCATGTCACTCCATTATTAAAAGAACTACATTGACTCCATGTAAAAGAACGAATAATGTTTAAAATCTGCGTCATGTGTTTCAAATGTGTAAATAAAACTGCTCCTTTTTATCTACAAGAACTTATCAGTATATATAAACCAGGGAGAAACCTAAGATCATCAAACGATAACACCCTACTTGTGACACCTGTAAAATCATACAAATCATATGGAGAGAGATCTTTCTCATATCTTGGTCCATTTATGTGGAACAGATTACCCATGAAACTAAGACAAATAAGAACACTTGATAGCTTCAAAAGACATCTTAAACATTTTCTGTTCCTACAGGCCTATCCTTCATAAGCTTTTAACGTTATCTTTCATTATATTTGTTCTGTTCTTATGTCTGGATGAAAATAGTCTGTATGTGTGTGTGTGTGTGCATTAATGTATATTGCATGAGAAGAAAGGAAGTAGTAAGAAAGGTTTTTGAAAAATGGGTATTCCAATGAAAAGCGCATTGAGCTACTTTTTTGGAAATGCGCTATATAAATGTTATATATTATTATCTGTTATTGGAGCTAACCACAAGAAGGAAAATTAAGAGAAACATTGAAGAAGAAAAAAAATCTAGGGAAGCAATTGTGCCAGTTTAATGATAGGAAAGTAAACCACTGCCATGATGAAGAGTACCCTGTATCGATAAGAGAACGGAAGGATGGATGGTGTATGCATCTTGCTTGGTGTCGCAGCAAGAGCAAGGAAGGGAACGATGCTGATAAATCTTCAACTTAAAAAAGGAGAAAGAAAAAAGAAGCAGGATTGCTTTTATGTCAGATCATAATCGTGGCAATGTAATCAATATTGATCAAAGCACGCCAACCACTCCCTATTTTGTAATCACTTCCGGACACATACCTTTCACTATCATACGACCAGAAACTAAGAACACACACATAAACACAAACATAATTTATACACCATACTTCCAAGCCGTATTGTAAACTGTTGTGAATGCAGCCGACTTGCGTTTGGTGCGTTCATATGACCATATGTAGTTGCGAGCGTCGTAATACTCTTACTAAACTAAAATCTAACTGAACACCATACTTCCCTGTGCAGCGTCCCTCCGCCTGTCTTTGATAACGCCCCACTACCCAGTACCCACCCTCGCAGTGGGTGGTTGGCAGGTGCTCTGGTGTGGTTTGCTTCTTCTTTCTTATCAAACATCTATCGTCTTTATCTCCCCTTCTTCTTTTTTATTTTTGTTACTCTCTTGTAACACCTCTTACCTTCTGGCGCTCATCTGACCTTGCCTTATGCTGTTGCGAGCGCCGTAAAACCTCTACTAAAACTAAACTCAGCACCCGCCCTCGCATTACTTGACTCCGAGGAAGTTTTAGTGCTTTATGCATACTGCAGGTTATGTGAGATGATGTTGTCTTGACACCAGCACAGCAGTATTTTGTGTCACGCTGTGTGGGGTGTATGGTGTGAACCAGTTGGGCTCATGTAAACGGATACTCTCCATGATGATGGATATGTGTTTGTTTTCCGTCATGCTGGCAGAGTACTTTGAATTTGAGACAATTATGACTAAAAATTTCTATTGGGCTTGTTGAAATGAGCTGCTTCACTCATCTGTGTGGGTGTTTAACAAAATAGTGTTGTTGTCAATACAAAGAAAATTGAGCGGTTCAGCTGGGGAATGTCATGTTCTTCTAGTGGATGGTTGGCGGGTGCTCTGGTGTGGTTTGCTCCTTCTTTCCTAGCAAACTTCTATCGTCCTTATCTCCCCTCCTTCTATTTTGTGTTTGTTACTCTCCTGTAACACTTCTAATCTTTGGCACTTATTTATGACCTTATTGTTTTGCAAGTGCTGTAAAACTTTTACTAAAACTAAAACTATGTTCTTCGAGCTGTCCGTGAATTCAAGTGTTCTATATTTTCTTTGCTCAACGTAATTTTGGTGTCTGTTCTCTCGAATTTGCAACCAAAGAAGTAAAACATGCTGATTTTGAAGAAATATGGAAAGGGAAAGGTTATGCATTGATCTAGATTGGGGCATAAAAGACGTTCCCCATTATTTTCTTTGAAAGTGTAATCATTAGAGGTTCATATCCACAGGTCATGTTTTTCATCAAGAGTTGATTGTTTGTGTGTTATATGTTCCCAAATTTTTTTTCTTTAAAGACATAATCATGAAATAATCACATTCGTGGCTCCTGTTTTCCATCAAGGGTTGATTGTATGTTATAAATATATGTTCTTAGTGGGTAGTTGGCGGGTACTCTGGTGTGGTCTGCGCCTTCTTTCCTATCAAACATCTATCATCCTTATCTCTCCTCCTTTTTTTATGTGTGTTTGTTACTCTCTTGTAACACCTCTAATCTCTAGCGCTCATATGACCTTATGCTGTTGCGAGCGCCATAAAACCTCTACTAAAACCAAAAAAAATTTTGTGTTTGTTACTCTCTTGTAACACCTAATCTTCGGCACTTATATGACTATATTGTGTTGCAAGTGCCGTAAAACTCTTACTGAAACTAAATATGTTCCTTAATTTATTTTTTTTTTTCTTTGAAGACACATAATAATTTGCACTTGGTGGGGGTGTTTTGTCACAGCTGTGGGTCGTCGTGTTTTCCATCAGGGTTTGATCGTTTGGTTTTTTTTGTTTGTTTGCTTATTTGTTTTTTTTTGTTTGCTTATTTGTTTGTTTATTTGTTTTTCAGGTCGCATCTCCGTGGAGGGCTGTGGGGCCTACAGCATGTCCAAACACGCGCTTGTCGCGTTCACCAACACGCTGAGGATGGAGATGAAGAAGTGGGGGGTCTGTGTCTCGCTGGTGGAGCCCACGGGATATTTCACAGGTGAGGGTGGGTCAGCCTCGTTTGTACTGTTTGCACTGTTCATCTCTTTGTCTGTTTGTATGTCTGTTTGTATGTCTATTTTTTTTTGGTCTCTTTCTCTCTCTCTCTGTCTCTTTTTCTCTCTCTCTCTTTCTCTTTCTCTCTCTCTCTCTCTCTCTCTCTCTCTCTCTCTCTCTCTCTCTCTCTCTCCCTCTTTCTCTCTCTCTCTCTTTCTCTCTCTCTCTCTCTCTGCCTGTGTCTGAGTTGGCAGGTCTGATTCAGATACATATAAACACACGCACAAGCTCATGCACAAGCTCACGCACACATGCAGACACATATGGGGACACACACGCTCGCACATACACACACACACACACACACACGCACACATACACACTCACAAACACGCACACATACACACTCACACACTCACACGTCTATAAACTTACATTTAGCTCCGTGTCTCAGCTATAATGGACCCCCCCTCTCCTATAACCCCCCCACCCCCCCAAACCACCTGTTACCTTCATTTACCTGTTTCTCAGTAGAAAGGTACTCTTACCCATCATTGTGGTATCATTTTGGTATCACTTCCCCCTATCACTTGTTTTGCACTTGGTGTGGGTGTTATGCAAATTTTTTTCACCAACGTATTGCTTTTCAAAAGATTTGGTTGCTCAGACCATATAACGAAATCTTTTGTAACCCCTCAGGAAAAGTCGCATTTAACAGCCATAGAGGAAAATTTCCGTGACACAGCCGACTTAAAATGTTTTATGATTAATGGGTCTCTCTGACACAGAAGTAAAAATTTACTTTTTTTACAATTGGTAATTATAATATATTCAGACTCAGGAGTGAAAATAATTTAAATATACAGTTTACAATTTGTATTTATTCAGATTTCTTCCTGTATAGTTAAGTTTTTTTTCAACCCTTTGAGCCCTGACCTCCTGAGGCTACCGTGCCCCTCTGCCTGAGCTCCTGAGCTTTTTCTTCTTCTTCCTTGTTCTCGATGACAGCAGCTAGACAGTCTGTCCGATGTCGTGCACAGACTGTGCAGTTCGCTTCAAATCTGAGCGTGAGAGACCTCCATGAAACTTTCTCTCAAGAGGAGTCACATTCTGCTACATCTGTGTAAGAAGGGTGGCGTAGCGCGGGCAGTGCTGAAGGATTATAATGGTTGGCATCCTCTTGGTGGTGTCCACACTCACAGATCCCGGACTCTCCGACTTTTAATTTAGTGTGCATGTGGTGTTTGAGTCTGTTGTGGCCACAACAGAGTTGAAAGATTAGCTCCTGAGCGATATATTACTAACATTCATACGATCGTCAGAATCACATTTCAAATCCCTCTCTGGGTAGTCCTCGTCATTTATTACCAGCATTTAATTTAGAAAGATCTTCAAAATAATCAATAGCGTCCTTTGTCGTAAACACTGTTTGTGGGTGGTTGGCGGGTGCTCTGGTGTGGTTTACTTCTTCTTTCCTATTGAACATCTATCGTCTTTATCTCCCGTCCTTCTTTTTTTGTGCTTGTTACTCTCTTGTAACTCTTCTAATCTTCTGGCGCTCATATGACATTATGCAGTTGCGAGCGCCATGAAACCTCTACTAAAACGAAAACTTTCTCCCAGACTGGTGGGGGTGGGGATAAGGTCTCGCTCTCTGGTGTACCCGTGACAAGGCATACAAGCACAGTTTTACGCACTATCGTTAGGACTCAAAGGATTTAGTTGTTGATTGTCATTCTACTAATATGAAAGACTTAGAAACATAATTGACAACTCTGCTTAACTTAAGCCATGAATTTGTTGGTTGGCAGGTGCTCTGATGTGGTTTGCTCTTTCTTTCTCATCAAAGTTGACCTATCGTCCTGATTTTTCCCTGTTTCCTTTTTGTATTTATTACTCTCTTGTAATACCTTTAATCTTTGGCACTTACATGACCTTATTGTGTTGCAAGTGCTGTAAAACTGTCAATCAAACTACAAACTAAGCCCTGAATGCCTTTTGTCTTGCGCTTGTTTCAGGAGTCATGCAGGAGCATTCTCTACAGAGGAAGAAAGAGGAGCTGTGGTCTGCATTGGATGAAGAAACCAGACAAGTGAGTTGATTGTGCTCTCTTTTTTTGTGTATGTGATTGAGTATTAATTTCTTTTGAGGAACTTTCGTTTGAATTATTTATTGGGACCATTGAGGTTTGTGTGCCTTTGATGATTATCTGTTAACAGAAACAATGGTGCTAGCTAGGAATTTTTATTTATAAGAGGATAACATAATACACATACAACGATGCGCACACACACATACACACACACACACACACATACACACACACACACTTTTGTCTGTCTGTCTTTCTTTTTTCACAGCACTAAATTACCATTGTGTCTGTGTACATCTCTTTACTGAAACAAACAAACAAGGCCATATGTACATACTGATCATGTGCATATACGCTAGCACACTCACATATATTTGCTTACACTCTCTACATGCACAAACTCTACTGTATACATGTTGACCCATTTGCACATGCCAGTATGCATAGCCCACACACACACTCACAAATGCACGCGCGTGTGCGCACTCACACAATTAGGAACACACCAGTTGTCTCTGTCAGCCTATCTTGCTTTTTCCCAGCACTGATTGACTTTTATCTCATCATAGTAGGCTTCTCTTTACTCAAACTCAAACAAGAAAAAAGAAAGAAAAAAAAGTCAAATTGGGTGGTTGACGGGTGCTCCGGTGTGGTTTGCTTCTTCTTTCCTATCAAACATCTATCGTCCTTATCTCCCCTCCTTCTTTTTTATGTTTGTTACTCTCTTGTAAGACTTCTAATCTTCTGGCGCTCATATGACCTTATGCAGTTGCGAGCGTCGTAAAACCTCTACTAAAACAAACAAAATAAAAGTCACAGCTGTTGTTGCTGAAATGTAATCGTTGTGTTTTCTCCAGATCTACGGCAAAGAGTACTTCGACTCCGCCTACGCTCACATTCTGACCCACGCTCAGTCGTACCCCCGCGACCTGAGCCCAGTAATCCGCTGTCTGCGGAGCGCCCTGCTGTCCAAGCGGCCGCGGGAGAGGTTCCCCTGCGGCGGGGGGGCCGAGATCCTCATGTGTGTCTACCCACTGCTGCCAGTGTGGATGGCCGACTGCGTCTCCAGTAGCATTAATCTCGTGCCCAAACAGCTGAGGCCCCAGGCACTGAGCGGGATGACGACCAGATGATGAGAGGGGAGGGGATTACACAGCAGGAAGGGGTTGAGGGGGGGGCGGGGGTAGGGAGAGGACTGTCTCTCTTACTCTCGTACACTCCCACCCCCTGCATTGATGGCCAGAGAATGAGAGGGGATTACACAGCAGGAAGCGTTGGGGGGGGGGGTATTGTCTCTTTTACTCTCCCGCCCCCTGCATTGATGACCAGATGATGACTGGGGATTACAGAAAGAAGGAGAGGGGGGATTTTGACTCTCTCAGAATGCTGTACATTTGGGATGGAGTTCAACAACATTCAATTGTCTCTCCGCCCCGCCCCCCTACCCCACCTCCATGTGAACAAGGTGACATTCATTGAGCTGCCCACTTGGAAGAGGAACAATGTGGTTGTTTTTTGTTTTTTTCTGATATGCGATAAAGACAATGAATTATAAAGCACGTGGGTCAACTTAAGTTTGTGAACCAATTTTTCCAACGTTCAGTTGTAAAAGCATCTTTCCGGGGTCGATAACAACAAAGCATCTTTCCCTTACAGAGTCTTCTGTTGTATTTGACCGCTGTGATTGGTTTGACGGTGCCTGTATGGGAATCTTCTTCTTAATTATCCCTTTGGTACGTCTTGTCTTTCTTTCCTTGCATTTTCCGAGTGCACAGTGGCAATTGTCCAAGCAACATGCAGGTGGTTTGAGAGTGCCACTGGCAGGTCCTACTTCTTTTTTTTTTTTCCCTCTTGTTTCTGCCCGTCTGCCTATCTGTCTGTCTATCTGTCTATCTTGCCTTTTCCCCTGCTTGAAATGATCGTTGTTGTGGCGATGTGCTTCTCTTTTCTTAAACGGTCAAAACAAGCCTCTCAACATGCCTCTCTTTCACCAATTAACAACATTTGAATAAAATGATATAACAGCATTTAGTTGCTTGGTTTTTATACCATGACAATGATTTTATCACTCAGTTTTTCACTTGTTGGTCTTAGTCAATGTGTAAGACTGTGGACATCAGCCAAAGCAATCTCTTCTTGTCTTTCAGTCTATTTGTTTTTGGGTTGTTGTTTTTTTTTCTTTGTTTCTTTCTATTGTTGTGCTCAGATAGGAAGAACTTGCTGGACGTCCAAGCTGCTACTACTTGAGTTGTTGGAGGATGATATTTGCGGGTCCTACTTTTATTATTTCACTCCTTTTGTTTCTGTCTGTCTTTCTTGCTTTTTTTCCTCTGGTAGGTCGTTTTTCTTTACTATACATTTCTGTCTGTCTGTCTGGGTGGCTCCATTGGGTAGCTCTTTACTAATACTAATACTATACTATACTTTTGCGGTTTTTGTCTGTCTGTTTTGCTTTTTCACAAGCTAAACAACTGTTAACCTATGAATGAGCTTGAAAATGTGTTCTTTTATCAAAAGACTGTAAATGTGTTCTTTTATCAAAATATTGTAAATGTGTTTGAATGTGGAAAGGAATTTCACTTTGTTTTATTGGCTGGGAAAAAAATTGCCCTGTGGTCTAAAGTCAAAAGAATATTTGTGAGGCAGCGTGGTGGAATCAGGCTCTAGTCAAAATAATGAAATCGAAGAAAACAGCAGTTTTCTCCCTGCTTAACAATTTTTATCCAATTTTTGTTTTTTGGCTTAACACCTTTTATGTCCATTTACAAACACATTCCTTTGATGATTTCACCGAAAACGTTGATTAAACGCACAAAAAATATAAATTTATAGTTTCCATGGACTCTCCAGCTTTGGAATTTACCTAGCTTTGGCGGCCATTTTCTCACTAATTTTACCTCTAAAACCAGGTGACCCCCACCTCCTTCAATCCAAAATATCTCTACTTCTATTGAAGATGGATGGGTAATTTTTTCTTTGAAAGCAAGACAAATGAACAAGCTGTAAGATGATACCAATAACTCAATATGCCCAAAAATTGACGAGAGCCTGATTCCACCACGCTGCCTCACATTTGTTTATATGTGTTCTGTTGGCAAAAGAAGCAAAACCGTTGGTTTGTTGGGTGTTTGGTTTTTTTTACTTAATTTACAAGAAAGAGAAATCCTGTCTGTTCTCTCTTTAGGAGCTGGTAAATAATCCGAGCATATATATCTACAGCTAAAGACTCACAGAATGTGTTATGATTTATGATTATGAGGCATTCTGGGAGTAAGAATACTTTGCATACAAAAAAAAAAGACAGCAACTGTATTCATACATGCAGAATTTACTGGCTGGGGTATGTACTTAAATTGTAGTGTATCTCCACATCTTTGTGGGGGGATGAGCCAGTATTAGCCGTGACTGGAAAACTGAATCAAAATTAATTGTGTATTAGGAATGAATTTTTTCTTACAAATGTAGGAAATCAATAATTTAGAAGGGGGGGGGGGTGTGTTCTTTTTTGGAGCATATCATGGCGGGTAATGTGTCCGTCACAGGATAAAATTTCCCCACTCTGAGTTTCTCATATTTGATGATCCTGTCCTCTTTCTTATGACTCATGTGCCGTTACTGTGGGGTTAATTCATTCACTTTAATAACGTTCTTTTGTGTTCTTCTGTTTAATTATGCTGTCCCCGTCGTTTTATGCAAGAAAAATTCTGAAATTATGCAAACTGAGCCCAAAAATGTGAAATTAGGCGATTCTGTTAATTTTAACAAAAGAGTGATAAAGGAAAATAATAGGAAATTATGCAAAAAAATGATAGAATTTTGCTAAATTATGCGGGGTGCATAAAACCACGGGGACAGATTATGGCTTCCTGTCTCTTTTTTTTTCTCTTTTGCTTCTGACGACTGTTGTTCAAATGATAGGGGTGTCTTTGACATCTCAATAATAATAAAGATACTAGTACCAGCTTATACAGTGTAGGAGCCTATTGGTAAAGCTCTTCACCGTTGTGTACAAAAAATGGGAATTAAATTTCCATGAAGGGAATATTTTTTACCGAGACTGCTTGGATGTTGTGGCGTCCCACTCAGACTCTACTGGCCCTGACAGGCAGGATCAAAGTGGCCTGCCTCCTAAATGATCTAAATTGTTTCGATGGGGGAGTGAAATGAGATTTGTGATCTATAATATATCCATAATTTGTTTGTTTTTCACCCTCTTCGCTTCAACATGAGTGAGTGTTCTCTGGAGCCCTATGAGGAATGCCGTTTTGTTCATCAAGTTAAACAATACTAATTTCCAAATGTTTTTGTTATTTCTTTTGATTAATTTACTGCCCCCATGGTGTGAGAGAAGCGTATATATCTCTTATTTAATGGTGTAAAGGTGTGTTCACAGAAAACTGGGAGACTTGGAACGTTTTCTTATATATATGTTAATTATATATATATATGAATAGATTTTGCTGTTGGATATTTAGAATAAGAAAGTCTGTGTTTTTGGTCATTCCTAAAGTGTTGGCTATTTATGAGACAGAGAGTACGTCGTGTTAAGTTGCCCTCTTTTATCCTGCGTGTTTTCGGTTTTGTGTCGTAGCCTTCGAAGAGTGTGTCATTAGAGCTGTTGTTGTTTTTCCCAGGGTATTTTGTTGCTGAATATGCCTGGTGTGCACTCCTTTATAAATTATAATTAGCTGAGAAACATATCAGTTCAGTCTTCAAATTTTGAAACCCCAAACACTTTTTGTTACGATTTACTTGTGCTTTAAAACAATTTTGGGATTGTTTTTTTTGTTGGTTTTCTTTTCTTTTTCTTTAAAAAAATTTTTGTTGTTGTTGTTGCTTTCAACTTACTTCAACCGGAAAGCGAACTCAGACTCTCCAGACTTTCTCAGCAGGTAACAGAGTTTGTTGTGCTCTTGAAAATGTAGAAACTTGCAATAAGGTTCTTCTCCTTCCATTCTCCCAATCAGCCGGTGTATCTTGCTTCCTGTTGCTTTACAATCATAACTAACTACTACGCATGTCGTTTAAGTATTTTAGGATGGGGCTGTGGTTCCTTTGTCTCTTCATGTGATGCCACATTAATGATTCCATTTTATTTCAAGGTTCTGACTCTATGTCAAGCACTGATCTGTCGCGTGTGTGTGTGTAGGGGGGGAGGGGGGAGAATGCAGTTGCCATTTTGACTAAACACTGGTGTGGGGGTGTCTGTGTCTGTGTTTAATTATTGGCTTATCTCTTCTTTGAGTTTGTCCTTTTGTCTTGCATGTAATTATCTCTTGCACAATACATTCTTATGGCATATTTTAGAACGTAGTTCATACATAGACTTGCTATTGACATACCCTATGACGTTTTATAGAGAATTTACTCCTGTAAAAACTGACATTGACTGCACTGCTTAAATATGACTGTGGTCAATCGTCCTGATCTCTCTTCCTTCTTTTTTATGTTAGTTACTCTCTTGTAACACTTCTAATCTTCGACACTTATATATATATATATATATGACCTTATTGTGTTGCAAGTGCCGTAAAAGTCTTACGAAAACTAAAAACAGACTGTGGTCATTGGCCCAAACCCGAGGTGTCAAAAAAAGGATAAAATAGTCATATGGTTATGAAAGTGGTAGAGAAAGGGCCATTCATATGGTCATGGAAGTTATAATGTTATTAAATTTATTCATCAAAGAGAACTTGTGATATAACGTAGTAATATATAAATAATGTCATTTCTCTCTGAAGTTTTTGTATGGTTTATCTTTGGCTTAGCATCCATTTCCATTACCATTACAATCTAATTAAAGAAAGCACTGCAGATTTCACTTTGCTAATGCTTACTGTTTGGCAGTTGGTGAGCTTGGGTAATGTAGGGTTACCTAAGTCAACGGAGTCTAGAGCCTATGGCTTCACATGGCGGCTTGAAGCAAAAATGTGTGTGGGTGGTTTGCAGGTGTTCTGGTGTGGGGTTTGCTTTTTCTTACCTATCAAACAAATATCGTCCTTATCTCTCCTCCTTTTTTTTTGTGTGTGTGTGTTTGTTACTCTCTTATAACACCTCTATATGCAGTTGCGAGCGCCGTAATACCTGTACTAAAACAAATTGCTGTAAAACTCGTACTAAAACTAATCTGTTTGTGATAGCTTGGAGTGCTTGCAATTATGATGACTCTATCACAGTGCTCGTGTGAGTTCTCTCGTATCTCGACTGCTGAGTGTAAAACCGGGCTTTGCACTATTTTGAAAAGTGACGTATGATTGATAGAGTCCAACACTGAGCAGTCAGTCTGTGATGTAATAATAATATTAAAGCCCTTTGCCATATATCTGATGCTAGAGACGTCAGTTTGATTCTTGTGTGGGAAGCTTTTTTTTTTTTTTATAAAGTACCTCTGTCCTTCTGGCAGGCCAGGTCATCTTTCCTTCCTATTATATTGATCTAAAATGTGTTGATGGGGAATAAAAACATCTAGATTTAAAAAAAAATTTTTTTTTAAAACTCAAAAGAAGTAGCTTGGTAAGATATTTTATCAAGTGTTAGGGAAAAAGGTCAAAGCATCTCTAAACTCTGCCTTCTGAAACGGAGAATTGAACCCGCTACTTTGGCCAGAGAATCAAGCTCCTTACCCCATAGACTGACAATTCACGAAACAAAATGCATGGAACAAGGATATTTGTTGCTCTAACTCTAACATTATCGGCAGTTGTCACTTTCTGTGACTTTTATTCATGCGGCTATGTCACGACTCCACTCGGTGTTAGAAGATTTATTTGGAATGCTTGCGTGGGAGTGGGGGTTATTCGAGCTGTTTTACTTCCATCAATGTTACAAATGATATTATTTTTAGGATGCTTGTTATTCTCTGTATAATATTTCATCTCTTCTAGTGATTCAGTTACATTTAGGCTATCAGGATGTATTGTAAAACCTCTGCGTAACTGTAAATGTACATATGCATTTGGAAGCTTGGATTTAGAAAGGGGGCAGAAATGCAAATGAGCAAGCAGACTTTGCTTACCGTCAGTGAACTCTGGTGAAATTATCTGATGAGGTTCTACAGTAAAATGGGAAACATGATTTTTACATTTTTAAATATTTTTTATGTTGTTTTTTTTTTTTTTGGGGGGGGGGGGGGTGTTGGTTGGGGATTGGCCTCGTTAGTTTGTGCTGTCTGTATTACTCATTTTACATCATCATAAGCAAATTCTGCTCGGACTGATTTTGTTGTTATGGAAGAGGTTTTTCTGTTTATTTCTATCATACTTACTGACTCACTTGCTGATGTTTTTTTCATGAATCCTCTTGAAAATAGTGCCATGATTCCATTATTGTTTTCCCACATGAAGCATGTCTTAGTCTTGTGCAGTGGGTCTGAAAGCACATTTATCACATGTAGCGTTTTGCAAGAATGTACCCTAATATAGGGCTCTTCAATAACTTTTTTTTAGGTACGAACTGGGCTGTTTTAGTAATTAGTCTGATGATTTTTCCTCCTCCCCCCATTTGAAGTTTTTTCTTAATTAAAAGACATTTTCGTGGTGTGAACTATTTCATTGTGGATGAGATACTCAGAAAAGGTGGTGTCTTTGAAAGCAATCGTGCTAATGA